CGATGGCAGGGGGAGAAGCGATGGCAGGGGAGAAGCGATGGCAGGGGGAGAAGCGATGGCAGGGGGAGAAGCGACGGCAGGGGAGAAGCGATGGCAGGGGGAGAAGCGATGGCAGGGGGAGAAGCGACGGCAGGGGAGAAGCGATGGCAGGGGGAAGCGATGGCAGGGGGAGAAGCGATGGCAGGGGGAGAAGCGATGGCAGGGGGAGAAGCGATGGCAGGGGGAGAAGCGACGGCAGGGGGAGAAGCGATGGCAGGGGGAGAAGCGATGGCAGGGGGAGAAGCGACGGCAGGGGAGAAGCGATGGCAGGGGGAGAAGCGATGGCAGGGGGAGAAGCGATGGCAGGGGGAGAAGCGATGGCAGGGGAGAAGCGATGGCAGGGGGAAAGCGATGGCAGGGGGAGAAGCGATGGCAGGGGGAGAAGCGACGGCAGGGGGAAGCGATGGCAGGGGGAGAAGCGATGGCAGGGGGAGAAGCGATGGCAGGGGGAGAAGCGATGGCAGGGGGAGAAGCGATGGCAGGGGGAGAAGCGACGGCAGGGGGAGAAGCGATGGCAGGGGAGAAGCGATCAGGGGGAGAAGCGACGGCAGGGGAGAAGCGATGGCAGGGGGAGAAGCGATGGCAGGGGGAGAAGCGATGGCAGGGGGAGAAGCGATGGCAGGGGAGAAGCGATGGCAGGGGAGAAGCGATGGCAGGGGGAGAAGCGATGGCAGGGGAGAAGCGATGGCAGGGGAGAAGCGATGGCAGGGGAGAAGCGATGGCAGGGGGAGAAGCGATGGCAAGGGGAGAAGCGATGGCAGGGGGAGAAGCGATGGCAGGGGGAAAGCGACGGCAGGGGGAGAAGCGATGGCAGGGGGAGAAGCATGGCAGGGGGAGAAGCGATGGCAAGGGGAGAAGATGGCAGGGGGAGAAGCGATGGCAGGGGGAAGCGATGGCAGGGGGAGAAGCGATGGCAGGGGAGAAGCGACGGCAGGGGGAGAAGCGATGGCAGGGGGAGAAGCGATGGCAGGGGGAGAAGCGATGGCAGGGGGAGAAGCGATGGCAGGGGGAGAAGCGATGGCAGGGGAGAAGCAATGGCAGGGGAGAAGCGACGGCAGGGGGAGAAGCGATGGCAGGGGGAGAAGCGATGGCAGGGGGAAGCGATGGCAGGGGGAGAAGCGATGGCAAGGGGAAGAAGCGATGGCAGGGGAGAAGCGATGGCAGGGGAGAGAAGCGATGGCAGGGGGAGAAGCGATGGCAGGGGGAGAAGCGATGGCAGGGGGAGAAGCGATGGCAAGGGGAGAAGCGACGGCAGGGGGAGAAGCGATGGCAGGGGAGAAGCGATGGCAGGGGGAGAAGCGATGGCAGGGGGAGAAGCGATGGCAGGGGGAAAGCGATGGCAGGGGGAGAAGCGATGGCAGGGGGAGAAGCGATGGCAGGGGAGAAGCGATGGCAGGGGGAGAAGCATGGCAGGGGAGAAGCGATGGCAGGGGAGAAGCGATGGCAGGGGGAGAAGCATGGCAAGGGGAGAAGCGATGGCAGGGGGAGAAGCGATGGCAGGGGGAGAAGCGATGGCAGGGGGAGAAGCGATGGCAGGGGGAGAAGCGACGGCAGGGGGAAGCGATGGCAGGGGGAGAAGCGATGGCAAGGGTGAGAGGAGAAGCGATGGCAGGGGGGAGAGAGAAGCGATGGCAGGGGGGAGAGGAGAAGCGATGGCAAGGGGAGAAGCGATGGCAGGGGAGAAGCGATGGCAGGGGGAGAAGCGATGGCAGGGGAGAAGCGATGGCAAGGGGAGAAGCGATGGCAGGGGGAGAAGCGATGGCAGGGGGAGAAGCGATGGCAGGGGGAGAAGCGACGGCAGGGGAGAAGCGATGGCAGGGGGAGAAGCGATGGCAGGGGAGAAGCGATGGCAAGGGGAGAAGCGATGGCAGGGGTGAGAGAGAAGCGATGGCAGGGGGAGAAGCGATGGCAGGGGAGAAGTGACAGCAGGGGGAGAAGCGATGGCAGGGGAGAAGCGATGGCAGGGGGAGAAGCATGGCAAGGGGAGAAGCGACGGCAGGGGAGAAGCGATGGCAGGGGGAGAAGCGATGGCAGGGGGAGAAGCGATGGCAGGGGGAGAAGCGATGGCAAGGGGAGAAGCGATGGCAGGGGGAGAAGCGATGGCAGGGGGAGAAGCGATGGCAGGGGAGAAGCGATGGCAGGGGGAGAAGCGATGGCAGGGGAGAAGCGATGGCAGGGGAGAAGCGATGGCAAGGGGAGAAGCGATGGCAGGGGGAGAAGCGATGGCAGGGGGAGAAGCGATGGCAGGGGGAGAAGCGACGGCAGGGGGAGAAGCGATGGCAGGGGGAGAAGCGATGGCAGGGGGAGAAGCGATGGCAAGGGGAGAAGCGATGGCAGGGGGAGAAGCGATGGCAGGGGGAGAAGCGATGGCAGGGGGAGAAGTGACAGCAGGGGGAGAAGCGATGGCAGGGGGAGAAGCGATGGCAGGGGGAGAAGCAATGGCAAGGGGAGAAGCGACGGCAGGGGGAGAAGCGATGGCAGGGGGAGAAGCGATGGCAGGGGGAGAAGCGATGGCAGGGGGAGAAGCGATGGCAGGGGAGAAGCGACGGCAGGGGAGAAGCGACGGCAGGGGGAGAAGCGATGGCAGGGGAGAAGCGATGGCAGGGGGAGAAGCGATGGCAGGGGGAGAAGCGATGGCAGGGGGAGAAGCGATGGCAGGGGGAGAAGCGATGGCAGGGGGAGAAGCGATGGCAGGGGGAGAAGCGATGGCAGGGGGAGAAGCGATGGCAGGGGAGAAGCGATGGCAGGGGAGAAGCGATGGCAGGGGGAGAAGCGATGGCAGGGGGAGAAGTGACAGGCAGGGGGAGAAGCGATGGCAGGGGAGAAGCGATGGCAGGGGGAGAAGCATGGCAAGGGGAGAAGCGACGGCAGGGGGAGAAGCGATGGCAGGGGGAGAAGCGATGGCAGGGGAGAAGCGATGGCAGGGGAGAAGCGATGGCAGGGGAGAAGCGACGGCAGGGGAGAAGCGACGGCAGGGGGAGAAGCGATGGCAGGGGAGAAGCGATGGCAGGGGGAGAAGCGATGGCAGGGGGAGAAGCGATGGCAGGGGGAGAAGCGATGGCAGGGGGAGAAGCGATGGCAGGGGAGAAGCGATGGCAGGGGGAGAAGCGATGGCAGGGGAGAAGTGACGGCAGGGGGAGAAGCGATGGCAGGGGGAGAAGCGATGGCAGGGGGAGAAGCGATGGCAGGGGGAGAAGCGATGGCAGGGGGAGAAGCGATGGCAGGGGGAGAAGTGGGACGATGCAGGGGGGAGAAGCGATGGCAGGGGGAGAAGCGATGGCAGGGGGAGAAGCGACGGCAGGGGGAGAAGCGATGGCAGGGGAGAAGCGATGGCAGGGGGGAGAAGCGATGGCAGGGGGAGAAGCGATGGCAAGGGGAGAAAGCGATGGCAGGGGGAGAAGCGATGGCAGGGGGAAGAAGCGACGGCAGGGGGAGAAGCGATGGCAGGGGGGAGAAGCAATGGCAGGGGGAGAAGCAATGGCAAGGGGAGAAGTGATGGCAGGGGGAGAAGCGATGGCAGGGGGAGAAGCGATGGCAGGGGGAGAAGCGACGGCAGGGGGAGAAGCGATGGCAGGGGGAGAAGCAATGGCAGGGGGAGAAGCAATGGCAGGGGGAGAAGTGACGGCAGGGGGAGAAGCGATGGCAGGGGGAGAAGCGATGGCAGGGGGAGAAGTGATGGCAGGGGGAGAAGCGATGGCAGGGGGAGAAGCGATGGCAGGGGGAGAAGTGACGGCAGGGGAGAAGCGATGGCAGGGGGAGAAGCGATGGCAGGGGGAGAAGCGACGGCAGGGGAGAAGCGATGGCAGGGGGAGAAGCGATGGCAGGGGGAGAAGCGATGGCGGGGGGAGAAGCGATGGCAGGGGGAGAAGCGATGGCAGGGGGAGAAGCGATGGCAGGGGGAGAAGCGACGGCAGGGGGAGAAGCGACGGCAGGGGGAGAAGCGATGGCAGGGGGAGAAGCGATGGCAGGGGGAGAAGCGATGGCAGGGGGAGAAGCGATGGCAGGGGGAGAAGCGATGACAGGGGGAGAAGCGATGGCAGGGGGAGAAGCGATGGCAGGGGGAGAAGCGATGGCAGGGGGAGAAGTGACGGCAGGGGGAGAAGCGATGGCAGGGGGAGAAGCGATGGCAGGGGGAGAAGCGATGGCAGGGGGAGAAGCGATGGCAGGGGGAGAAGCGATGGCAGGGGGAGAAGTGACGGCAGGGGGAGAAGCGATGGCAGGGGGAGAAGCGATGGCAGGGGGAGAAGCGACGGCAGGGGGAGAAGCGATGGCAGGGGGAGAAGCGATGGCAGGGGGAGAAGCGATGGCAGGGGGAGAAGCGATGGCAGGGGGAGAAGCGATGGCAGGGGGAGAAGCGATGGCAAGGGGAGAAGCGATGGCAGGGGGAGAAGCGATGGCAGGGGGAGAAGCGACGGCAGGGGGAGAAGCGATGGCAGGGGGAGAAGCAATGGCAGGGGGAGAAGCAATGGCAAGGGGAGAAGTGATGGCAGGGGGAGAAGCGATGGCAGGGGGAGAAGCGATGGCAGGGGGAGAAGCAATGGCAAGGGGAGAAGTGATGGCAGGGGGAGAAGCGATGGTAGGGAGGGGCTTTAGAGATGGGGGGGATGCGCATGAAGTGTTTGGTTGCGATCGGGATGGTGCCTGTGTAGGTCTGCAGGGAGAAGGGGGGAGAAGAATAGACAGAGGGAGGCATGTGAGTGGACTCGAAGGGCATGTCTCCACTGCTAGCACCATGAACTCTCCACCCAAAACCCTGAACTAAGCCCTCAACCCTAACCCTCAACTCTAAACTCTCTCCTTGTCTCCTCCTTCCCCCCCGCCATGTAGATGAGGTTGTGCTGGTAGCGCTGCATGAGGTTGTGCAGCACGCCCGCAGCCCGGGTCATGCAGGCGCACCGCTTGACTGGCGCACCAGGTGCATTCAACAGCACACGTCACTCGATCACTCCCCCCATGCTCACGTAGATGAGGTTGCGCTGGTAGCGCTGCATGAGGTTGTGCAGCACGCCCGGCTCGTGCAGGTATGCCAGCTTCACCATGTCGTCCACAATGCTGCTCTCCTCCTCACGGGCGAAGCACTCCGATGCCGCTACCACCACCTGGCAGGCCAGTGGAGGAATGAGGCAAAGGGTCGTGCAAGGGCTTGTGTGGTGAGGCGCCTTCTACGCACTACCCCCAAGCTTCACCAAGTCATGTTCGATCTCACAGTCACCTGTCCCTTGCTTTCATCTCACAGTCACCTGTCCCTTGCTTTCATCTCCCACTCACCTGTCCCTTGCTTTCATCTCCCACTCACCTGTCCCTTGCTTTCATCTCCCACTCACCTGTCCCTTGCTTTCATCTCCCACTCACCTGTCCCTTGCCGCCATTGCCCAGCCGGACTGTGAGCTGCCCGCCCCCCCCTTCCAGCGCCACCACCTCGCCCTCCTCCCACGCGTCTGCTGCATCGGGCACCCACACCTTGGACCCCACTGTGAACAGGTTCTGCTGCGAGCCCTGGGGGTGCAGGGAATGTGCGCAGAGGGGAAGGCAGGGAGGAGCGCATACGCTTAACAGGGGGTGTGCTGCATTGGGCACCCGATGTGAGTAGATTCTGCTGCGAGCCCTGGGGAGGGGGGGGGGAGGGGAGGGAGGGAGGCCAGGAAGCAGGAAGTGGACAAGGGGATGAGCACGCCACTTGGACAAGGCACAAGGGAAAGCGCCCACTTCAACCAGCACCCACACCTTGGCGGCCACAGCGAGCGGATTCTGCTGCGAGTTCCAAGGGGAGTGGGCAGGGCGGAGCAAGACTGGATAGAGGGGGCAGAGACAGGGCGAGGAGGAACGTGGGCGGTGGCACAGTGGGTGCAACGGTTGGCACAGAGGCCGGGTGCGACCTCTGCATCCCGTACCATGTGCGAACAGATTCGCCTGTGCCGTGGAGGAACGGAAGGAGGAGGACCGGAAGGAGGAGGAACGGAAGGAGGAGGAACGGAAGGAGGAGGAACGGAACGGCGGGCTGCAAAGGAGGGCAGGCGGGTTGTGCAGGGGGGAAGGCGGATTGTGCAGGGGGGAAGGCCGGTTGTGCATGGGAGAAGGCGGGTTGCGAGGGGGAAAGGCGGGTTGCGAGTGGGGAAAGGCGGGTTGCGAGGGGGGGAAGGATAAGAGAGGAGGTCGCACAGCGGGGAACGAGACGACTAGCTCGGGGGATGGGATGGGATGGGATGGGATGGCCAGCAGCTAGGGATGGGGGAGGTAGAGGACGGAAGGCGAAGCTGTCCGCACGAAGAGCGGGGGAGGGGGCGGGGGGAGGGAAGAGACAGGTTGGAGGAGGTGACTGGTGGAGAACGGGCCCACATGCCGTGGGGTGGGGGGGCGAAGGGGGTGGGGTGCGGGGGCGAAGGGGAGGGGGGGAGGGGGAGGGGGGGAGAAGAATGTGGAAGGGGGAAACGGAGCGAGGCGTTATGAATGAGACGACCCGCGCCCTTCGCGGTGGCCCTATGCCCTGCGCTCACCGAAGTCACGCGGTGCATGGCTTCTCTCGGTGCTTGGCTTCTCTCGCTGCTTGGCTTCTCTCGCTGCTTAGCTTCTCTCGCTGCTTGGCTTCTCTCGCTGCTTGGCTTCTCTCGCTCCTTAGCTTCTCTCGCTGCTTGGCTTCTCTCGCTGATTGGCTTCTCTCTCCGCGACTGTCGTTTACACGATAGCGAGGTAATGCCGCCCAAATGAAGGGGACTGCGAAGTGCACATACCATGGCTGGCAGCGGAGAGGTCGCTCCTAGGGACGGCGAGCAGAAGGTGATCCGCGACGATCGGAGGCTCCGCGACTGCCGTGTGGCCGATAGCGCGGATTGGCGTCTAGCCGTCGCCGCGCTTCATCGCGATCCTACTGTGGCGACGACGTCAATGTCGCTCCTTTAACACCTCCCAATGCAGCTTTAAAGTGCTATCGAGTGCTATCGAGTGCTGTCGATTCCTATCGAGTCCTATCGAGTGCTGTCGAGTGCTGTCGAGTGCTGTCGAGTGCTGTCGAGTGCTGTCGAGTGCTGTCGAGTGCTATCGAATGCTGTCGAGTGCTATCGAATGCTGTCGAGTCCTATCGAGTGCTGTCGAGTCCTATCGAGTGCTATCGAATGCTATCGAATGCTATCGAATGATGTCGACCAGCACAGCTTTCTCTGCTCGAGTGCTATCGACGTCTGTGACGCGATCGCTCTTCTGCAGGGATTCGGACGCGCTGTGACGAGCTGGAGAAGGATGGATCGCGCGGAGACCTCGTGTTACGGAAGAGAGGTGGAGCTGTTAATCTACGACCGCACTTATCCTGAACGACGCTCAGACGACGAACACTACGCGACTTCGAAACGCCACGTAGGCGAGCAGTAAGGGACGGCTAGCGGCTAAGAGCGTGGAATGGACGCCGGAAGTTGGAGCGAATAGCCATTGACGGCATTGCCGAACAGCAACGACGCGCGGGAGACGGACGCAGCAGCCACCAAGTGCTCAACGATGCGAGGGGCGACGAGCCTAGCGTTTGGAGTCAAGGCAATGCGCTGAGGTGAGAGGCACGAGCAGACTGCCGAGAAGACACCGCAGGCAAGGCTCAGGGTGCTCGCTTTGCAAGAAGAGCCTTTCCTATAATAAAGGAAAAGAGACTGTTTGTGGATGGCATGGCACCCAAGACAAGGAGACAGGGAAAAGGCGTGGGGGGAGAAAGAGGTGGGCTTGTGAGGGAGGACGGCGGGCAACACCGAGGCTGCAATTATTTCGCGAACGTCGCGCAGCTTTCGTGGAGGTGCTGATAGGATGACGACCTGGATACATCGGCTACATAAATAACTCGCAAACGTTCTGTGATTGGATGAATTGATACAGTCAAGAAGGCTTGACCAATGAGAGGCACAACAGTCAGGCGGGGTTTGCCCACAGCAGAAATGGATTTCCTCAAACTGCGTTACACTGCACACTGTACCACCTTGATGGACATTGCTGTGGCTATTGAGCAGCCAATGAACGTACATTCTTGTTACGGTACATACAATTGCAAATACCTTTAATATAATAAACAGGCCACCTCTCTACATAGCACTCCCTTCCAGGGCTCCCGTTATCAGACCAAATCGGTCTGATGGTCTGAAAATCAGACCGGATTTTTATTTTTCATCTGATTTTTTTACGAGCCAAATATATTCGTCTGATTGTTCAGACAAGTTATAAGAATTCGTCTGAAACATCAGACCAGGTGTACACATTCATCCGATTTATCAGACCGGCCGTTTTTTTCAGTCTGATACCGACAAACCCACCCTTCTAGCAGCAGGGCCACTACTAGTCCACATGCCCACTGGGCCACTGCCTGCCACCTGGTCCCATGTGCACCGCAGCACACGCATTCAATGTTAAAGTGAGAACGAATAATGACTAGAGGTGGAAACCTAGAACAAATACTAGTTGGTTGTACTCACTAGAAGCATACCTCAGTCTAGCCTATAACTTCTACATAGATAATATGTATAAGTTGAAACACCCCCTAGGCTAGACAAGGGGTGAAACTAAACAAGAAACAAACAGCTCAAGGCGGCACTACTAGTCCAACCACTGAGGCAGGGGTCTGGAGACCAGTCAGCAAGAATACAACCAAAACTGAAGCAAGCCAGGGTGGCACTACTAGTCCAGCCACTGGAGGTAAGGCCACAAGGCCAGTCTGACAAGCATATATAATAGAGAGTACACAATCAGGATCCTAACAGGGGAGCAGCTACAGGAACAAGACCAAGCTGTACACAGTGCCGCTGATGATCTTTAGGCGCAAGCGCCTTAGTAAAGATATCAGCTGTGTTGGCACCTGAGGCCAAGTGAACTACGCGGGCCTGGCGGCGCTGCTGCAGCTCACGCAGGAGAAAGTACCGCAGCTGGATATGCTTCGCTCTGCCCTCAAGCCGAGGCTCCTGACACAGGAGTATCATGGCCCTGTTGTCAGCGTACAGGACCGGGGCAGAGCTAGGCCGCTCACCTAAGTCTGTGAGCAAGAAGGTCAGCCAGCGGAGCTCCTGTGCCGCCATGGCACCAGCGTAGATCTCAGCCTCACAGCTAGACTGAGCCACAGACGACGAGCGAGTGGATCTCCAAGAGATAGCACCCGAACCAAGGCTGAAACAGTAGCCCTGTGACGACCTGAGCGTCTCAGCGTCGTCTGCCCAAGAAGCGTCTGTGTGCCCAGTAAGGACCACTGGCCTGCGTCCTCCTAGCACTAACCCCATGCCTGATGTACTAGCAAGATAACGCAAAACCCTCTTAGCGGCAAACCAGTGCTGAGGTCGGTGTTTGCCTGTAGCCACAAAGCGAGCCAGGATGCTGAGAGGGTATGCGAGATCTGGGCGCGTGCAAGTCATCAGGTACATGAGGCAACCCACCAGCTCTGCGTAGGGGCCACTGGGCTCTACTGGCTCCTCAGGAACGGAAGCAGAGAGCCCATGGTCTACGGGTAGAGGTGTGGGCTGTGCGGAGGAGAACTGAAGACCGAACCTCTGAAGGACCTGACGCACCAAGTGTGACTGGGTCAGAGTGATGGTGCGTGCTGCTCTGTCCCTGGAGATCTGCAGGCCAAGATAGCGACGCAGCTCTCCAAGGTCAGTGCAGGTGTGTCTCTTCAGCAGCTCAGCCTTCACAGAGGCCAGTGCGTCCCTGTCAGGAGTAGCGAAGACCAGGTCGTCTACGTAGACAAGGATGTAGAACGGAGTCTGGCCGGAACGCACAAACAGTGAAGGGTCAGCAGAGGACGGAAAGAACTGCAGGTCTGCTAACGTGGCACGTAGCGTGTCGTGCCACTCGCGGGGAGCCTGACGCAGGCCGTAGACCGGGCGCCTGAGAAGCCACTGGGTCCCAGGAGGGAAGGTACCAGTGAAGCCCTGTGGTCGGCGCAGGTAGACCTGCTCGTGTAGGCTGCCCTGAAGAAAGGCAGTAGAGAAGTCGAGGGAGTGAAGCTCGTAGTCACGCTGTGCTGCTACGTGTAGCAGTGCCCGAAGAGTGGTCATCTTCGGGGTCGGGGCGTAGGTCTGGAAGAAGTCAACCCCCTCGCGCTGACTGAAACCTCTGGCCACGTAGCGCGCCTTGAAGACAGGCGGCTCTCCAGGGGGGCGCTTCACCTTGAAGAGCCACCGACCATCGACTACGTTCACCCCAGGCGGGGGAACTGCGTCGACGTAAGTGCCGGTGGACCTCCAAGATGCCATCTCCTGCTCCATGGCAGCTATCCACTGAGAGGCCCAAGGTCCCGAGGTGGCCTCAGCGTAGGTGCGAGGGGTCGGGATGTCGAAGGCGTCTGGGTCACCCTCAGGGACTAGGAGCATGGAGCAGAGATGGGGAGCAGCCTTGGAAAGGAAAGCCAGCTCGTACTGCCTGTCCTCTAGGACGTCACTGCCAAGGGCAGGAGCACCCCCGACGGACAGAGGACGGGCAGGGTCAGAGACCAGAGCGGTAGCGTAGTCAAGGCGGCGGGTAGAAGCGAAGTCAGCGACAGCGGCGACAAGCGCGTCAAGGCGCGAGACAGGAACAGCAGGGTCGGTAACAAGAGAGGCAAGGACCCGAGGGACAAGGGGATGAGAAGCACGGAGGTAGTCAGAGAACGGAGGAGGTGCAACAGCAAGGGACGAGGGAGGAGGGGACGGGAGGAGGGGAGGACGAGACGAGCGGGAACGGAGCAACATAGGGTGGGTGGGTAGGACAGGAGAGACGGGACGAGCACGGGGGGGACGGCGAGCCCAAACGTGAGGCGGAGGGGTAGGGTCAGGGGACAGCGGAGGAGACACAGGAGGGGAACGAGGAGGAAGACGGGCCGGAGACGAGTCCGGCGGCGGGAACACAGGACCGTAGACAGGGAGGTCAGCAGGCGGTGGGGGAGACACCGGCGCGCGGTCCGGTGAGGGAAGGCCGAGCAGGCGGAGAGCGGAAACCGGCGGCGACGGCTGCTGCGGCGGCGACGACGGCTGGGCCGGAACTCTCGGACCAGCAGAGGCAGAACGACCGTCGGCAGAACACTCAACAGCAGCACCCCCAGAACCAACACCCCCAGAGCGAGAACCCCCTCCAACACCAGCGGCACCCCCAGAAGCCGCAGGACGAACACCCTCCTCCACACCAGCACCCCCAGGGGCCAAGAGCGGCGGCGGCAGTGGCGGCAACGGCTGCGGCGGCGGCGACAGCGGCGACGGCTGTGGCAGCGACAGCGGCGGCGGCGGCAGCGGGGTCGGCGACTGCGACAATGGGGGCGGAGGCACCGGGGAAGGGGGACGCGGCAAGGACGGACCGGGGGTACCACCAGAGTCAGCAGACTCCTCAACGGGGACAACCGACGGGAGAGGAGTGACGTGGGAGACACCAGACGGGGCAGGACGAGGCGGGAGAGGGGCAGGGGCTACCGGGGGAGAGGGAGCAAGGAACAGGGGGGGGGCAACTGGGAGACCTCGGTGAGGGAAGCGGCGGTAGAAGGAGACGGACTCGTCAAAGGTGACGTCACGAGAGTGGAGGAAGCGGTGAGACGGCGGGTGGTAGAAAAGCCAGTCAGACGAGTCCAGGGGGAAACCGAGGAAGACACAGGGGACAGTGCGGGCAGTGAGCTTGTCCGTGCCAGAGGCACGAACGTGAGCAAGGCAGCCCCAGACGTGGAACGCAGACGCGTCACCGGGGGACCCGGTCCAAAGGAGGGTCGGCGAAACCTGCGGCCGCTGGGAGCGTGGCCACAGGTTAAGCTGGTGAGCAGCGTAGCGAACAGCGAACGGCCACAAAAAATGGGGGGCATCGGCATGGATCATGGAGGTACGGGCGACCTCCATGACCAAGCCGATGCGGCGCTCAGCAACCCCATTCTGCTGTGGCGAGTCCGGCAAGGTGTACGACTGGGTGATGCCCTCCGCACGACAGAACTGTCCAAGCCGACCAGAGGCGAACTCGCCGCCACGGTCGGAGTGGAGACACAACACGGGGAGACCGCGGTGGAGACGCGCAGCCACAACCCACGGGAGAAGAACGTCGGGCACGTCGGCCTTCCGCTCCAGGGGAAACACCGTGGTGTAGCGCGTGTAGTCGTCGACGAGCACAAGGAAGTAGCGCTCACCGCGCGGTCCGGGGACGGGGGCAGGGCCCCAAACGTCCAAGTGCAGGGTCTGAAGGGGGGCAGTAGCAGGACGCAGCGAGGAGGAGTGAGGAGCACGGCGAAGCCGACCCTCGACGCAAGGCGTGCACGGTGGCGCAGTCGAGGGAGGAAGGGCAGGGAGCGACGCAGGGAGACCTAAGACAAGACCGTGCTGGGACATGTGACGCAGACGCGGGAGAGCAGGGTGACCTAAGCGGTGGTGCCAGAGAAGGGAGGGGTGAGCGAGGGACCGACACGAGCAAGCTGCAGCGACCTGGGAGGACGCACCAACCGGGGGGGAAGCGGTGTCTAGGATAAACAGACCGGACACCGGGTCCCGGGGGAACGTCGCAAGGGGGGAACCTGAGACAGCCTCAGAACAGACAGCGAACCGCTCGTGCCCGGGGAACGTGGTGGTGACGCCGAGGTCCTGGAGACAGCCGACACCAACCAGGTTCCTGGAGAACGAGGGAACGTGGAGGCCAGTAAGGGAGCCTGAGGGAACTGCCGGACAGGGAAGTGACGTAGAACTGCGCGCGACGACCGGACCCGCAGAGAGGTCAGCGAGAGAGACAACAGCAGGTGCAGCAAGCGGCGTGAGCGTGGAACGGTCGCGGAAGAAGCAGGCAGAAGCACCGGAGTCGAGAGTGAAGGACAGCGACGCAGTGGCGGAGGCCGGGGACGGAGCCGGTGCAGCGACTAGACTAGGCAACCTAGGCAGTCCTACGCCTGACGCAGCAGGGGAGGCTAAGCTACACAGTGGTGCAACACCTAAACTAGAGTACACAGGGTAATAAGATCCAGCAAAACTAGAAGTGTCAGAATACAAAGCATGCAAAGCAGCACCTAGCTGATCCATGTCTAACTCAAAGATCGGCACGCCCTGGCGGAGCAGGCTATGCCAGTCGGGGAGGTCCGGGGCCGGGCCAAAGCGACGACGAAAGAGATCGTCGAGGCGGCGGAAACAGCGGGCGGTCGGGTGCGGGCGGCGGCACAGAGTGCCGCGAAGAGGCCCGGTCTGAAGCTGGTACTGGCAGGTGACAGCACCGGAGCCGCCGGTAGACGCCAAGCTGCGCGGGCCGCCACCACGGCCACTACCTCCGGAGGTGCCTGGCCAACCAGGCGGGAGACGGGCCCACTGCTGCGGCGACTGCTGCTGGGACGGTAACTGCTGCTGGGGCGGCGGCTGCGGCTGGGGCTGCTCCTGCTGCGGCTGGGGCTGCTGCTCCTGCCCACCAGTGGTAGTCCCCGCAGGCGGACTACCGTCACCACCACTACTGCCACCACCACCCCTACCCCCCTGGCGACCACGGCCACCGCGGCGCGAGTGCTGCTGCGGGTGGACCACACCAGCCGACTCGGTGAGAGGGGCCGCCGAGGCGACCGCAGCCGAAACGTCAGTGAACGCACACTGGGCGGGGGCACAACCGTGAAAGATAGAAACTGCCGGCGCACCGCTCGACTGAGCGATAGTGCGCTGGCGAGTCTCGATCTCGGTGAGGGTGTCGACAAAGGCAGTGAGAGTGAGGTCACCCGGGTGCTGGCTAAGAAAGTGATCGCGAGCACTAGCGAGGCGGTCTGGCAGGCGCATGGCGATAAAATAGAGCGTCATGCAGAAAGGGGGGGGGAGCGCAGTGAGCTGGGCAGCAGTGCTGGCAGTGCAATAGCGGGTCTCTAGGGCACGCAGGTGAGTGGCAAAGTCTGCGACGGTAGGGAAAGCTGCAAGGTCTGGGAAAAGCATAGGGAAGAGCAGGCGACCAGCAGAAGCAGACGCGGGTGTGGAATAGCGGGCAATAGCAGTGTCTAAGTAAGCTTTGGCCGTCTCAATAGTAGCAAAACGCGAGCGCTCAGAGACAGGGAGGGCGTGGCTAATGGCAACCTGAGCGACTGCATCGCGGGAGTCCCAGACCGCACGGGCAAGCGCAGCAGTAGAGAAGGTCTCACGGTCATCAGAGGAGGGATCAGCAGGGAGGGGAGCAGGTGCGGGGGGACGGGGGAGCAAGCCGTCGACATGGACAACCAAAGAGTGGCCATCCTGGTGCTGACCTGTAAGGTGGCGGCGGAGATCGGAGAGCCAGGCAGCGAAGTCAACCGCATGGCCCTCCGCGTCCAGTCGGAGCACGAAGTCCGCCATCGTGCAGGGTCAGCGGCACAGCTCCACAGGAACACAGCGACAGCCCCCTCCAGCACGGCGGCCGCGAAGCGCCTCAGCACGGGCGAGCAGAGGAGACGGAGCCCGAGGCGGCACGGCAGGACGAGCCGGGGCGAAGGGGTCAGGCAGGTGCGGTGGGGCCAGGCAGGTGCTGGCGAGGCCAGGAAGGCACGGCGGGGCCAGGCAGGCGCGGCGGGGCCAGGCAGGCGCGGCGGGGCCGGGCAGGCGCGGCAGGGCCAGGCAGGCGCGGCGGGGCCAGGCAGGCGCGGCGGGGCCAGGGAGGCGCGGCGGGGCCAGGCAGGCGCGGCGGGGCCAGGGAGGCGCGGCGGGGGCCAGGCAGGCGCGGCAGGGCCAGGCAGGTGCGGCGGGGCCAGGCAGGCGCGACGGAGTCAGGCAGGCGCGACGGGGCCAGGCAGGGCGCGACGGGGCCAGGCAAGCGCGGCGGGGCCAGGCAGGCGCGGCAGGGCCAGGGAGGCGCGGCGGGGCCAGGCAGGCGTGACAGGGCCAGGCAGGGCGCGACCGGGCTAGGCAGGGCGCGACGGGGCCAGGCGGGCGCGACGGAGCCAGGCAGGGCGCGACGGGGCCAAGCGGCGGGGCCAAGCGGCGGGGCCAGGCAGGTGCGGCGGGGCCAGGCAGGCGCGACGGGGCGAGGCAGGCGCGACAGGGCCAGGCAGGGCGCGACGGGGCCAGGCAGGCGCGGCGGGGCCAGGCAGGCGCGGCAGGGCCAGGGAGGCGCGGCGGGGCCAGGCAGGCGTGACGGGGCCAGGCAGGGCGCGACGGGGCTAGGCAGGGCGCGACGGGGCCAGGCGGGCGCGACGGAGCCAGGTAGGGCGCGACGGGGCCAAGCGGGCGCGACGGGGCCAGGCAGGGCGCGACGGGGCTAGGCAGGGCGCGACGGGGCCACGCGGGCGCGACGGGGCCAGGCGGGCGCGACGGGGCCAGGCAGGGCGCGACTGGGCCGAGCGGGCGCGACGGGGCCAGGAGGTGGGGGGGGGGGGGGCGACGTGGCTAGGAGGCGCGACGGGGCTAGGAGGCGCGACGTGGCCTAGCTAGGGTACGGGCGGAAGCGGTAGGTGGGGGATGCTAACCTACGCGTGATACCATGTTAAAGTGAGAACGAATAATGACTAGAGGTGGAAACCTAGAACAAATACTAGTTGGTTGTACTCACTAGAAGCATACCTCAGTCTAGCCTATAACTTCTACATAGATAATATGTATAAGTTGACATTCAATTCTACCCCGAGCGCGGCAGCAATACAGTCCAGCGCACATAAACAGTCTGAATTCTCAGACACGTGCTTGCATTTCGTCTGAATCGTAAGACAGGCAAAACAAATCCGTCTGACGGTCAGACGAAGCTCTAAGTACCCGTCTGATTTTCAGACTGCCCTAAAAACTAGCAGGAGCCCTGCTCCCTTCCCCTTGACCATAAATATCTAATACTATTGCCTTGTTCTTTACGATAAGGAATAACTTGCATTCCTGAAAGTGACACTCGAGCCCTAACCCTTGTCGAGCCGGAGCCACGAATTGCAACAGTCGTTGGTCGTTGATCGGCACTCGAACAAACAGAAGTTCAAGGGTCTGTCACGACAGCAAAGACAAATAGCTGACACTGTAATACAGCGTAGGCAGTTACCAGAGTCGTGTGCTGTTACCCGAATCGGATCTGGGACCTCAAGGGTGAAATAATTTGACAGGTGTTGCAGGAGACTAAGTATAGAATCTGCAAACATGAACACTTGGAAACCTAAAGTGTTAGCCTAGGATCTTTACTGCAATGGTACACTAGTAAGACAGCGGAAGTCTTGTAAAAGAATGATAGTCAAGCTTGAATAATCTGAGCACATAAACTTGTGGATAATCAAAGTTAATAATGGAAAGGCATAACAAGGATTTATAGTTCTAGGAAAGTACCTGTTCGCTAATGTACTTGTTCACTATCGCGCTATGCGCCCTAAATGATAACGAAGAGATGCAACTGTTCGCGTGACTGAAACGACTGTCCTCATGACGAGGGCTATTTGCTGACGCCATCCTACGGACTTATCTTCTACAGTAGGATTCGACACTATCTATCGATAAATGACTTACAGAAATGCTAAGTATGAATTATATAACAACGCTCCCCTTCATTTCTGGAAGTTCGATAGTGTCACTTCTTGAAGATTCCGCAAAGCTTGTTACAATACTGAAACTTCTGTCGTGTCAGCTTCTTCGTGAGGAAGTCGGCAGCCATTTCGTTGGTCGAACAATAGACCAATCGCATTCTCCCCTTCTCGACTTCATCCTTGACGAAAAAGTAACGCAGTGAAATACGTTTCGCCCTGTTGACGAAGCCAGGTTGGTGCGCGATGCGAATTGCACTTTGGTTGTCGCACTGCTGAGTAAACTGAGTACTCGTTGTCAACTTCGCTTCTTCCAAGAGTTCCAGTAGGTAAAGTCCTTCGCGTGTTGCGGTGCAGACAGCGATAAATTCAGCTTCAGCAGAAGAGAGAGCAATCAGCTCCTACTTCGTCGAATTCCAAGAAATAGGCCTGATAGGTTCAAGGCGGTAGATGAATCCAGTACGCGATCGTCGATTAGTAAAGTCAGCAGAGTGATCGGTGTCGACGAAACCGTATGGGTAATGTTTTACAACCGACGACGTTGTAGACTAAACCGACGTCAGGTGTCGATATAAAATACTGAAGCGCGCGGAGAAGATCGAGTTGATGCTCCTCTTCAGGATGGCGTAGGAACTGAGCGAGTTGACTAGCCGCATAGGCTAGATCTGGACGGCAAATAACGGCGGCGAAGAGTAATCAGCCTAACCGCTGTTGAAAAATCAATAAACTGGTTAGACTAAATGGTGCAGTATTCAATTTGTAGTCAGTCGGTAGCGAGCGGTACGGTGTAGAGACTGCAGTAGGAGTAAGGTTGAAGCGGGCAGCAAGTGTCGCTACGTACTTCGACGCGGTGAGGTGAATAGACGTCGGTGAGCAGGTTATGTTTAGACCGAGAAACTGTGAGAATGTTTTGAATACGGTAAGTTGTAGATTTTTCTATAATTTCAGTATGAAGGTGTTGGCGAGCGATTCAGTCGTACTAACGTAGAGAATATCATCGACGTAGGCGACGAGTAAAATATAGTTGTTGCCGTCGGTTAGAAGATACATTCCTTGATCATGCGGTAGTTGACGAAATCCAGAGGTAAGTAGTTGTGAATGCAGATACTGCTGCCAGAGGCGGGGTAGCTGTTTAATACCGTAGAGCGATTTTATGAGAAGACACATGCTCGGTGGGTTAGTAGTGTACGAGTGTGGGTACTCTACCAAAATGAGTGCGTCGACGGGTGCGTAGAGAAATGTGTTTGCCACGTCGATTTGTCGAAGTCGTAGATTGCGGCAGGCGGCATTACAGAGTAAAATCCGAATGCTCGCATGTCGACCGACGGGAGCAAATGTCAGCTCGTAGTCGATGGCATAAGTCTGCTCGAACCCGCGGACGACCCATCGCACCTTGATTTTTTCTAACGTCCCATCTGCATTAGTCTTGACACGGAAGACCCACTTTCCGGTAAGTACCTTTCTTCCTTTTACTTCTGATGTCGGTATTAACTCCCATGTGCCGCGACTCTTGAGAGCTGCTAGCTCTCTTTCCATGGCTTCGCGCCACTTTTCTCGGTGGGGACTCGTAAGAGCTTGTCGTACTGTTTTTGGTTCAGGTATCTTACTGTCGTTGTACTGTACTGCGACTGAAAATCCAGGAATCTGTAAACCAGTTTCTGTAAAACGCGGACGTTCTCCGTTTGCACCTGCGAAATTTTCTTCTGGTCCTTCTTCCCCCCCAATTTCGTCAAGTGTAACACGGACTGCTTCGTCGGAGACGGTTGGCATCTGCTGCTGTTGACGATCGCATTCATAACTGAGGTGGACTACGCGAACGTCATTCGGGTCAGCGTCAGTGAGGGGAATAAATTCCGGGACGCCAGACGACGTGACAGGTTCGGGAATGTCTGTTGCGGCAGCTTCGGAGGCTTCAAAAACTGCGTCGTGTTGTACATCAGCTTCGGCTTCGTCGGTTGCAAATGCACGCGAACCTTCGAACAGCCTGGCGGGGTTGGCAGCCGCTGCCTGGTGGGCACGAAAAACGGGCAAGGTGATTCGCTCATAGAAGAGACAATCACGTGAAGGGACGATTTGGTTGGAACAAAGATCCAAAATCTTCCATGCGTGATGCTGTTTTTCGATGCCGAGGTATACCCCCCATTTTGCTCGTTCGGAAAATTTGCCGAGTGCTGCAGTTGGAGGTCGAAACTGCACGACACACCCAAAAATGCGTAAGAGTTTTGTACTTCCCATGGTTCGTGTCCACTGCAGGTGAGGTGAAGAAAACTCGAGCAGTGACGCGGAAGACAGCAGGTTGTGTAACAGCACGGCGTGGTCCATTGCATAAGGCCAAAAACGAGGAGGAAGAGCTGCCGACCCGTCCCTTAGCCCGGCCCATAGCCGTCCCGTAGCTGGCCCGCGCTGGCCCGTTCCGCACAGCCGGCCACGCCACTTGCCCGGCCCCGTCGCCCGCCCGGCCCCATCGCCCAGCTGACCTTGTCGCCACGCCGGCCCCTTCCCCCAGCTGGCCCCGTCGCCCACCTGGCCCTGTCGCACAGCCGGCCCCTGCGGTCCTGCACTGCCCTGCACCGCAGTGCACCGCCATGCACCGCACTTCACCGCCCTCCACCGCACTGCACCGCACCACACCACATTGCACCGCCCTGCTGTGCACTGCACTGCACTGCACCCCACAGGTTCCCGCCTACCGCCTCTCTGCCGCTGCATCGACCCTGATGGCGAACTCGGTGCTGCGCTTTGACGCGGAGGGTCAGCCGGTCGAGTTCGACACGTGGCTCGTCGACCTCCGCCGTCACCCCTCTGGTCAGCGGCAGGACGGCTACTCCTTGGCCATCCACATCGACAATACGCTCCCCTTCCCTGAACCCCCTGCTGCTCTGCCCCCTGACCCCACGTCTGCTGACCGTGAGTCCGCTGCCGCTGCTGCCCTTGCCCGTGCAGTCTGGTTGTCGCGTGACACTGTCGCACAGCTCGCAATCAGTCATGCCCTCCCCCTGTCTGAGCGTCCCCGTTTTAGGTCAGTCAGGACCGCCCAGGAGTTCCTAGAGGCTGTTCTTGCGTGCTATTCCATCCCGCCCTCTGCCTCCGTCGGTCGCCTGATCCTGCCCCTGCTTTTTCATAATCTTGCGTCTTTCCCTATGTCGCTGACCCGATGGAAGTCGACAGGTTCGAGGGGCGGCCATGTCCGAAAAACACCAACTACACGTGTGATTTTTCGGGGTGCCGGGTCATCGAATCTTCGACTGCAACTCGCGCATCACCTTTTCGAGCTCTTTCGTCCGTTGAACGTCCTGCGCCTCGTCGCGCTAGCCATCGCATGCGGCACGCGTGCAGACGAGCTCGGCGCTAAGCTGCCCTTTGACCGAGGCGCAAAGAAAACGAGGTCCCCGCGCAAGACGCGGAATCGAGAGACCACGCGCCTCGCACCTCGAGCCACGCGCTGTGGGCTCGTTGCTCGCCGCCGACTAAACCTAATCTTGATATGGCGCGGGAGCTCCAGCCTCCCCACCCGCCAGCCAGTAAGCACATCCCGCAAGAGGAGTCCCGGAGGAAAAAGAGGGGTGGATACGGCAAAGAGCGCGGGGAAGAGGGGGTTAAACTGAGAGGAGGGCAGGGGGAAAGGGAGAGGAGGGCAGGGGGAAAGGGAGAGAGGGGCAGGGGGAAAAGGAGAGAAGGGCAGGGGGAAAGGGAGAGAAGGGCAGGAGGAAAGGGAGAGGAGGGCAGGGGGAAAGGGAGAGAAGGGCAGGGGGAAAGGGAGAGAAGGGCAGGAGGAAAGGGAGAGGAGGGGAGGGGGAAAGGGAGAGGAGGGGAGGGGGAAAGGGAGAGGAGGGCACGGGGAAAGGGAGAGAAGGGCAGGAGGAAAGGGAGAGGAGGGCAGGGGGAAAGGGAGAGAAGGGCAGGGGGAAAGGGAGAGAAGGGCAGAAGGAAAGGGAGAGTAGGGGAGGGGGAAAGGGAGAGGAGGGGAGGGGGAAAGGGAGAGGAGGGCACGGGGAAAGGGAGAGAAGGGCAGGGGGAGAGGGAGAGAAGGGCAGGGGGAAAGGGAGAGAAGGGCAGGGGGAAAGGGAGAGAAGGGCAGGAGGAAAGGGAGAGGAGGGCAGGGGGAAAGGGAGAGAAGGGCAGGGGGAAAGGGAGAGAAGGGCAGGAGGAAAGGGAGAGGAGGGGAGGGGGAAAGGGAGAGGAGGGCACGGGGAAAGGGAGAGAAGGGCAGGAGGAAAGGGAGAGAAGGGCAGGGGGAAAGGGAGAGAAGGGCAGGGGGAAAGGGAGAGAAGGGCAGGAGGAAAGGGAGAGGAGGGGAGGGGGAAAGGGAGAGGAGGGGAGGGGGAAAGGGAGAGGAGGGCACGGGGAAAGGGAGAAAAGGGCAGGGGGAGAGGGAGAGAAGGGCAGGGGGAAAGGGAGAGAAGGGCAGGGGGAAAGGGAGAGAAGGGCAGGAGGAAAGGGAGAGGAGGGCAGGGGGAAAGGGAGAGAAGGGGAGGGGGAAAGGGAGAGGAGGGCAGGAGGAAAGGGAGAGAAGGGCAGGAGGAAAGGGAGAGGAGGGCAGGGGGAAAGGGAGAGAAGGGCACGGGGAAAGGGAGAGAAGGGCAGGAGGAAAGGGAGAGGAGGGGAGGGGGAAAGGGAGAGGAGGGCACGGGGAAAGGGAGAGAAGGGCAGGAGGAAAGGGAGAGGAGGGCAGGGGGAAAGGGGGAGAAGGGCAGGGGGAAAGGGAGAGAAGGGCAGGAGGAAAGGGAGAGGAGGGCAGGGGGAAAGGGAGAGGAGGGGAGGGGGAAAGGGAGAGAAGGGCAGGGGGAGAGGGAGAGAAGGGCAGGGGGAAAGGGAGAGGAGGGCACGGGGAAAGGGAGAGAAGGGCAGGGGGAAAAGGAGAGAAGGGAAGGGGGAAAGGGAGAGAAGGGCAGGGGGAAAGGGAGAGAAGGGCAGGGGGAAAGGGGAGAGAAGGGCAGGAGGAAATGGAGAGGAGGGCAGGGGGAAAGGGAGAGGAGAGGAGGGGGAAAGGGAGAGGAGGGCACGGGGAAAAGGAGAGGAGGGCAGAGGGAAAGGGAGAGGAGGGCAGGGGGAAAGGGAGAGAAGGGCAGTGGGAAAGGGCGAGGAGGGGAGGGGGAAATGGAGAGGAGGGCAGGGGGAAGGGGAGAGGATGGCAGGGAGAAAGGGAGTGGAGGGCAGGGGGAAAGGGAGAGGAGGGCAGGGGGGAAGGGAGAGGAAGGGGAGGGGGGAGGGGTTTAGGAGGGCAGGGAGAAATGGAGAGGAGGGCAGGGGGAAATGGAGAGGAGGGCAGGGGGAAACGGAGAGAAGGGCAGGGGGAAAGGGAGAGGAAGGCAGGGGGAAAGGGAGAGGCGGGCAGGGGGAAAGGGAGAGAAGGGCAGGAGGAAAGGGAGAGAAGGGCAGGAGGAAAGGGAGAGGAGGGCAGGGGGAAAGGGAGAGAAGGGCAGGGGGAAAGGGAGAGAAGGGCAGGGAGAAAGGGAGAAAAGGGCAGGAGGAAAGGGAGAGGAGGGCAGGGGTATAGGGAGAGAAGGGGAGGGGGAAAGGGCGAGGAGGGGAGGGGGAAATGGAGAGGAGGGCAGGGGGAAAGGGAGAGAAGGGCAGGGGGAAAGGGAGAAGAGGGCACGGCCAAAGGGAGAGAAGGGCAGGGGAAAGGGAGAGAAGGGCAGGGGGAAAGGGAGAGAAGCGCAGGGGGAAAGGGAGAGAAGGGCAGGAGGAAAAGGAGAGGCGGGCAGGGGGAAAGGGAGAGAAGGGCAGTGGGAAAGGGGAGAGAAGGGCAGGAGGAAATGGAGAGGAGGCCAGGGGGAAAGGGAGAGGAGGGGAGGGGGAAAGGGAGAGGAGGGCACGGGGAAAGGGAGAGGAGGGCAGAGGGAAAGGGAGAGGAGGGCAGGGGGAAAGGGAGAGAAGGGCAGTGGGAAAGGGCGAGGAGGGGAGGGGGAAATGGAGAGGAGGGCAGGGGGAAAGGGAGAGGAGGGCAGGGGGAAAGGGAGAGGAGGGCAGGGGGGAAGGGAGAGGAAGGGGAGGGGGAGGGGTTTAGGAGGGCAGGGAGAAATGGAGAGGAGGGCAGGGGGAAATGGAGAGGAGGGCAGGGGGAAACGGAGAGAAGGGCAGGGGGAAAGGGAGAGGAAGGCAGGGGGAAACGGAGAGGCGGGCAGGGGGAAAGGGAGAGAAGGGCAGGAGGAAAGGGAGAGAAGGGCAGGAGGAAAGGGAGAGGAGGGCAGGGGGAAAGGGAGAGAAGGGCAGGGGGAAAGGGAGAGAAGGGCAGGAGGAAAGGGAGAGGAGGGCAGGGGGAAAGGGAGAGGAGGGCACGGGGAAAGGGAGAGAAGGGCAGGGGGAGAGGGAGAGAAGGGCAGGGGGAAAGGGAGAGAAGGGCAGGGAGAAAGGGAGAAAAGGGCAGGAGGAAAGGGAGAGGAGGGCAGGGGTAAAGGGAGAGAAGGGGAGGGGGAAAGGGCGAGGAGGGGAGGGGGAAATGGAGAGGAGGGCAGGGGTAAGGGGAGAGGATGGCAGGGAGAAAGGGAGTGGAGGGCAGGGGGAAAGGGAGAGGAGGGCAGGGGGATAGGGAGAGAAGGGCAGGGGGAAAGGGAGAGAAGGGCAGGGGGAAAGGGAGAGGAGGGCAGGGGGAAAGGGAGAGCAGGGCAGAGGGAAATGGAAAGAAGGCCAGGGGGAAAGGGAGAGGAGGGCAGGGGGAAAGGGAGAGGAGGGCACGGGGAAAGGGAGAGAAGGGCAGGGGGAAAGGGAGAGGAGGGCAGGGGGAAAGGGAGAGCAGGGCAGGGGGGAAGGGAGAGGAAGGGGAGGGGGAAGGGGTTTAGGAGGGCAGGGGGAAATGGAGAGGAGGGCAGGGGGAAACGGAGAGAAGGGCAGGGGGAAAGGGAGAGGAAGGCAGGGGGAAAGGGAGAGGCGGGCAGGGGGAAAGGGAGAGGAGGGGAGGGGGAAAGGGAGAGGAGGGCACGGAGAAAGGGAGAGAAGGGCAGGGGGAAAGGGAGAGGAGGGCAGGGGGAAAGGGAGAGCAGGGCAGGGGGAAGGGAGAGGAAGGGGAGGGGGAAGGGGTTTTGGAGGGCAGGGAGAAATGCAGAGGAGGGCAGGGGGAAATGGAGAGGAGGGCAGGGAGAAGGGGAGTGGAGGGCAGGGGGAAAGGGAGAGGAGGGCAGGGGGAAAGGGAGAGGAGGGGAGGGGGAAATGGAGCGGAGGGCAGGGGGAAGGGGAGAGGATGGCAGGGAGAAAGGAAGTGGAGGGCAGGGGGAAAGGGAGAGGAGGGCAGGGGGAAAGGGAGAGGAAGGGGAGGGGAAGGGGTTTAGGAGGGCAGGGAGAAATGGAGAGCAGGGCAGGGGGAAATGGAGAGGGGGGCAGGGGGAAACGGAGAGAAGGGCAGGGGGAAACGGAGAGAAGGGCAGGGGGAAAGAGAGAGAAGGGCAGGTGGGAAAGGGAGAGGAGGGCATGGGCAAAGGGAGAGGAGGGCAGGGGGAAGGGGAGAGGATGGCAGGGAGAAAGGGAGAGGAGGGCAGGGGGAAAGGGATAGAAGGGCAGGGGGAAAGGGAGAAGAGGGCATGAGGAAATGGAGAGGAGGGCAGGGGAAAGGGAGAGGAGGGCAGGGGGAAAGGGAGAGGAGGGCAGGGGAAAAGGGAGTGGAGGGCAGGGGAAAAGGGAGAGAAGGGCAGGGGGAAATGGAGAGAAGGGCAGGGGAAATGGGAGTGGAGGGCAGGGGAAAAGGGAGAGCAGGGCAGGGGGAAGGGGAGAGGATGGCCGGGGGAATGGGAAAAGGAGGGATAGAATCCACACATGTCAAACTGTGCCCCCTAAGTCTCTCTGGCTCCCTCTGCTCTCTCTGCCCTCTATGCGTGTGTGTCTCCTGCATTCGCTGCATCCGGGTCAAGACGGGTGCGGAGGCGCACCGGACTTGTCCCAACGGTGCACCATCCGCTATGGTGCTGGTCGCCGGACGCCTTTGGGAGGGAATATCCAAAGCAAAAAACTTTGTTACAGATTTGGGCAGCAAATTGGCTGGGGCTAAGGAGTGAGAATGAGACCGGTCGTCGGCGACTCACCGTGGAAAACATGATTTGTGTGTGTTGTGGGGGAAACACCCCTGAGAGCTGCAATGGAGTACCGTTGCAACCGAAGCACCACCGTTTCCGATGTTACGTCACCTACTCGCGCCTCCTAGGTGACCATCGATACGCTAGGGTTGAACTGCCTTGGCTGATCTATGTGGTGATCGGATCACTGTACCCAGAGGATGGTGTTAAGGGGTACGAGCACTGTACCCCTGAGGAAGTGGACTATTTTGTGCACCGTTGGTTTGCTGTCGATGATATAAACTTTGCAGCCACGGAGTGGCGGGGTTTGTTAGCACCTGCAACCGGTTAGTGGTGCGCCAGTAGGGCAACACTCGAAGAAGCTGTGGCTCCCAATGTTAGTGAAAGCAACAGTCGGAGGCTATATCTAACAATCACTGCGTTATGAATTGTGTGAGGGATATTAGCATATGCAACCAATTAGAAGGACGGGATGTAAAGTTACATAGACTCAAGCCCTGGTTTGTTGGATAGGGTTTATAGGAAAAGCAACCTGCTGCTGCAGCACGAACAAGTCAGGGTTCAAAATGCTCGGGTATAGCATGCAAACGAGTGCCGCGGGTCTGTCAACTAAGGATTTCGGAAACGTTTGGCAACAAAACTGTCGTGTCCCCAATGTCCTGCTATGTACCCCTGTATGCAACCGGCGAACGTGTAACTCCCCCCAACACCCATCCGGGCATGCATTCTGGCCCTCCGCACTGGGCTCGCAACCGCATGGTGAACGCCCCCGATCAATCTTTGCCTGCTGGTGGGCATCATTGGTGCACAGCATGTGCAATAACATGTGGGGGAAAAGGGAGAAGCGGGGAGATAAAGGGGCTGGCGGGACAAAACAAGAGCGGGGATGAGTGGAAATCGAGCGAGTGTGGGGCTCCGATTAACATGCAAGCACCGTACCGTATTGTGTCAGCCTTGGAAGCGTCGCGGCTGCTTACGGGGTGGAACAAACGGGTTTCGAACAGAGCGGCGCACCAACCCTGCGTGTCAATGTTTGGGAAGAAGATGACTGAAAACATATTACGGGTTAAAGAAAGTGGGCATAGAGTGGGGAGATAGTGGGAAGACCATGACAAGATTTTAATAAAAGGCAGAGAGGCATCAAATTATATATGGACAAAAAGATGGGAAGCATGTAATAAAGGGAGAGAGAGAGCGAGGAGAGAGTGAACAAAGAGGGGAAAGAGCAGAGGGTGGAGAAGAGGGTGGAGGAGAGAGTGGGGTCAGTTGGAGAGAGTGAGGGAGAGTGGAAGGGGTTAAAAAGAGTGGGCAGAGAGTGGAGAGAAAGGGGGGAGATCATGGCAAGAGTGGGGAAAACACATTAGGGGTTACGTAAGGAAATGATCTTGTGGAGGAACAAAAAATAAAATTCAGGGGGGAAGTGCACACACACCCACTGTTAAGCGCGCAAGCCACTACCGGGATTGGGTGGCGGGTCCTCAAGGTGCCTGTGCAGCCACCCGGCGCCAATCATTGAAAATGTCGTCACACCACTGCCAGTTCATCGGCCCAAGCACACGGCTCCTCTTCCCACGGCGCACGCGTGTTGCACGGCGATGCCTCACAATGTGCCGTAAGACCAGGCGCTCCACGGTGTTGTTCCAGTGGATGATAGCGAGAGCAATTCTCGCCTCCATGCTCCCGCGGAAACGGATGCGTTTCGGGGCGTACTTGCAAATTACGGAGTGGAATGACTCATTCAGCCAGCTGCATGCGTCAAGTACAAAAGGCCGCATCTTCTCCTCACTGAAATGCTTCAGTAGCCACGCCCTAAACGCCTTGTGTGTCGTGCTGTCAGGCAAATACACGGCACACTCTGGGCCCCACGCATCGGCCACGCATGTGGGCACAATGCCATGGCGAGCACACCTGGAGTGATCCCCGGCCCAGTGCTCTGCCGCTATAGCCAACTCCAAAGCCACTTCGGCCGCAATCATGGGCCTGCCCTCGGGCAGCGAGCGTGGCACACCGTACCATGACATGGTGGAAATGGATGCTGAACCGCTGGGCGATCCCCACCTCTTCAACGACTTCATCCACCCCCGACGCGCCAGTCTGTTCCGCGCCTGGCTGTGTCGTATTCGCCGTTGCACGACGCTTGCGCTTCCCCTTCGACCCCAGCGGCGGCCCCCCCTCCGCTGTAGGCCCGGCGGATGGTGCGCTCGTGCTAGGGGTCGGTGCATAGGGATCTACGTCACCATCCATGCTGTGCCACCATCCTCGCGCCCGCACATCTCCAATCTCGACACGTGCCGCGTCAGTCTTCTCTGTGTAGAGGAGACCACGCAATACCGCAGGGGTTGGCAAGGGTAGAGGCATCTCATAAATTGTGGGTCATCTTGGTGACAACAGTGCATGCACCATAGCAAGCAATTATGGTCTGGCAATATATGGCATGGACCATTTCACAACCCTACCAAGACTGAGGACACGATTGATGTGCCAATGTATGGCACCACGCCGTAGCGGCCATCCACATAATCAAATACAGATAAAAATCACATACCCTCTGTAGTCATGGCTTCGTTGGAATCCCGAGCAGCAGCCACTGTATCGTGGCGCCAGGCAACCTCTTGCGCAAGCAGCAGTGAGGCGTACGATGTCGGGCGTATGCCATTCCTGGGATGCGGGTCCCAGGCAAACATCCGAGCCACGTCTGCAAACCGCATGGCGCCGTCACCCTCCTCCCCCACTGCCTCCGCCCCTGCTTGTGCCCCCGCCCCTGTCACCGCCTCTGCCCCTACATCCACCCCCCCTCCCTGTGAACTCTCATCAAGGGAGCGTAGTGCCTCAGCGACATGGTCCTGTGAGGCGGCACTCCCTGCCATCCGGACTATAACTTGCCGCAGCTCTGGTACTTGTAAGACACATCCCCTGCATCACAGTGGGCGTAGAATATTTTGGCGTGGTGTCGACAAACTTCCTTGACGAGCGTCTCCCTAGTTGACGCAACCGTCAATCTGCCCTTCTGACCCTTTTTCTCCAACCAGAGGATCATTTTGGACTTCTTGATGTGCCAAAGATCCTCGATGGTTTTTGCCTCCTCCACGGTCATTGCCTCGTCTTTTCGAGCGTCAATCAGCTCTCTTAGCAATGCCTTGACCAGGCTCCGAGCCATATGCCACATGTCCTGCTGGTGTTCTAACCCCAACTTGGCTAGTACCGTCTTGAAACTAGTGCCCCCATCCGTAATGACACCATGCACAGTGAAACCCAAGGCTGTCAGCTCCCGCACTGCCTGTTCAAATGCCACCCTCTCCATTGCAGTCGATGAGATACCTTGCTGCCATTTGTTAATAGTCACGCAATGCAATACCTTCCGCGAATGACGATCCATCAGTGACACCGTACACCATTCACCTTCCCTCGACTGTGACCATCTTCCATCTGCAGTTATCCACATTTTTTGCCCCCCTCTCGACATGACCAAATCCCTGACCTTCGCCATTGACACCTCACTCTGCCGGACAATACTAGCCCACAAACCGAGAGGGCCATCCATGTACTTATAGTATATCCTCGCTGCAGGCACCCAAGCCCGATGTTGCGTGCGACAGACCACATCGCGCCATACCCTAGACCACTTATCGCGTAGGCGCCTAGGGCAGTTTTCGTGAGCCATGGCATTTTGGGACCTTTCTTGGTTGCCATGCCTTCGTCAGCTTCACGGTTGCATGACCACCACACCTCAGTTCGCTTGCACCTCAAGCACCTCCATAGCAAGCCAAAGGCCCCCAGAGACCTTTTCCATGTTTGCAACCACATGGACCCCCCACATGTCATACCTGCTGTGCATTGAAGTGAGAATAGTAGCATCAGACGAATGAACCATGTCATGTCCAGATAGCACACCATCCCCTCACCGGCCTCAGTGAGGGTTGGTGAGGCCGGCCATCCTTGCGGAACCCCACAGCCGAACTCCACTCGCCCATCAGTGCATTGGACGGTCCTGTATGTCCACAACAGTGGAGGAGGCGGGCACGGCAAGCCATTAGGATGGGCTAGTTTTTTTCTAACACTCACCAGGAAAACAGGACTCAACAAGCTACGCATGACCTTGACGGGCCGCTTACCTCCCACACTCCGCGGAGAGCGCTTCTCTTGGCTGCTCTTCGGCCATTGGCACGTCCCGCACGCGCCCCACTGGCGTGTGTGGAACACCAAGACATGGCAGCCCGGTTGCTGCGTGGCCAGTGCTATCAACACCACATAACCCGGCACCCGCCTGCAGCCCACTGACTGCTGTATCGCCTCCCGTTGCTGAACCACCGCGACCTGCAGGTTGTGCACCCCTCCTCCGCTCGGTGGCCATAGAGTCGCCGCCCCCCGCTGCATGGTCCTCGATATGCTCTACAGAGCGCCCCCCACGCGCTGGTGCTGTTTGTGATACATGCAGCACTCCTGTCTTGGTGGTGAGCCGTGGACGACTACGGCCACAGCGCGCCACTGCCGCAGTATGTAGCGAGCGTGGTCCTGGGAGAAAACAGGCATATCAAGAAC